TTCAGCCCAGCCTGCTGATAACCAGCACCCAAAATAGCCCTTCCTAGCAATAAGAAGTTTAACCTAGACAAGGGACAGATGCAGGGCCCTGTGAAGGGTTTCCTTGAAACTGGAGTCAGGGCTGGGTGTGACTGGGCATCCACCCAGTCCCAGGGATCAGCCCTGGACACTGCTGGGATGGCAGAGCTTGGGCAGAGCCCTGGGCTGAGGGTCCCCTGCCAGGTGTGCCCAGGTCACCTCTCTGCCACTCTGACCTCGTGTGCAGGAACTGTTTGCTGCATCTGTGCTGGGAAGGAGGCAAAGGGGACACAGGAATTAAATGCAGGCTTGTGGAACCCAATGGGACATGGAGCCAAAAGAAATGCCTCAGTTTGTTCTACCAAAAGGCAGAGGAGACATGTAACCCTTTAATTTCTCAGCATCCACCTTCTAAATGGGCAAAACTCAGCCCTGAAATGAGTAGGGCTGGTTTAGCTGCAGCCCCCAGGGCTGAGCCAGCTGCTCTGTCAGCTGCTGGGTGATCTCCCTGGAAAATGCCAGCAAGCCCAGGTGCAGTCCAACAGCAAAACCACTCAGGAAGCCAAGTCCCCACCAGCAAAGCCAAGACTATTACAGCTCAGAATTTTTAGTACTCACAAGACACCACAGAAAAATAAGTCCAAACCAAAGAGCTTGGCAGATGGAGACACAGGAGCAGAGGCAGCTCTGGGGACTTTCCTGGTGTCAGTGGCAGCTTGTGAGGGGCTTCTTCACTTGTGGCCAGCTGCCCCAGGACAGGCAGCACCATGTCCCCATGGCAGAGGGACACTGCCTCCCTCCAAGCAGCAAACTTTTGAGGATGTGCAAGAGGCAGCAGATCCCAGCTTCCCTGCCCCGTCCCTGCAGGCTGGCACACTGTGCTGAGGGCACAGGGGCTGTTTCTGTTACCACCAGCAGCAGAGAGGGAAGGGAGGGCAGGAAAGGACCCTCTGGGGACAAGCTGAATCACCTCCGTGAAGAGCCCTGGGGACATTTGCACGCTGTATGTGTGTGCCATGGGATTGTTCCTGCAGTTTCAGGCCTATCTTCTGTCCGTGGGAGAATGAGAAACCAAAGGTGGGCAGCCAGCAGGTGATGCAGCTCCCTTTGCACGCCCTGCCACCCTGAGTGACTGCCCACAGTGGCACTGGACTGTGTAGGCAAGAGGCAAGGTAGTTCCTTTGCAGCTCCTGGAAGATGTTAAAAGCAGTCACTGAGTGAAAACCCACAGAACTGTGGGTTCTGTGCCTGGAAGTACAGAAATGCTCTTTGAAAAGTCAGGTTTTCCTGTCACAGTCGAGGCAGCTGCTCCCATCACCCTCTGAGCCCATCAGCTTCCCGGAGGAGGAGGCTGGGATCTCTCTGCAAGGGCTTTGAGAGCCACCCACCTTGAAAATCCCGGAGGAATCGCTCAGATATGAAAGTTTCGCTGTTAAATCTCCTGTCTCCAGCTCTGTGCACAGAGAGCCGAAGGCAGGAGCCCTCCCAGGCACGGAAATAAATAAATCCCATGCGCCATCTCCCGGCCACCGGCTCGGGAGCCAGCGCTGCACACTTGCTGCTCTCCGCTTTTATTCGGGATCCCATCCCTTTCCCGTGAGAGGGGATACAATTATTGACAATTGTATAAATACAATTATGGCACAGCACTGCCACTACCATTGGCAGCTGCATCAAGGGGAAAAGCTGCATCCCTGGGGCTGCTCCTGCTCCCCAGCTTGGAGAAACCTGCTGGTGCTGCCCCCGGGCCCAGGGCAGCAGGACTCTGGAGCACAGCAGCTCTGGAATGGCCTCAGTGCTCGGAGATGCACCTGGGCTTGTCTGGGTCGCTCCTAGGGAAGCCTCCCCAGTCCCTGTGGGCTCTCCCTGGCAGCTGAGGAAGGTCAGCAGAGTCTGGGCTTCAGGGACCTGTGAGAGCTTGCCTGGGAATGATGGATGCTTGTCCTGTCCTGTGTGGTGGTGTTTGCAGGGGTCCCAGGATGAGGGAAGAGACGAGAATGTTGACTCCATGTTTCAGAAGGCTTGATTTATTATTTTATTATATATATTATATTAAAACTATACTAAAAGAATAGAAGAAAGGATTTCATCAGAAGGCTGGCTAAGAATGGAAAAAGAATGATAACAAAGGCTTGTGACTGACCGAGACAGTCCAGACAGCTGGACTGTGATTGGCCATGAATTAGAAACAACCACATGAGCCCAATCACAGATGCACCTGCTGCATTCCACAGCAGCAGATAATTATTGTTAATGTTTTGTTCCTGAGGCCTCTCAGCTTCTCAGGAGAAAAAATCCTAAGGAAAGGATTTTTCATAAAACATGTCTGTGACAGTCCTGGGGAAAGGCACTTTGCTCACTGAGCTCACCCAGAGTAAGTGCCTTGTCCCAGGGATGGAAGGAGAGAAGATGAGGAAAAACATCTGGGGCATCTCTTCCCGGGGCAAAGGATGCAGCTTTTCCCAGGGCTCCTCTAACAGGAGCTAGATGGATGCCAAGTCTGTACAGGAGGCAGGTGGTGACAAGAATACTTAGCTTTGGGGAAACAGGATCTCCTGCAGGATCTGGGTGGGCCAAGCCCCACATCCCACCAGTGAGCTGGAGCAGCACTGCCTGAGCTGGCATCTACTCCAGGAGAGGAGTCCCTGGGGCTGCCAAAACTTGCTGGGTTTCTGTGGGTTTTTGGTTCCTGCACCCTACTCAGCTCAGGAACAGAGAGAATCTGACCTCTTTCATCCCAGTTATTGCATCTTCATCTGCATCTCCTTTCTACTGCCTTAACATTAAAGTGAGGAGCGTGACTCCTGTTCAGGCTGGTGCCTGAATCTGCCAACAGATTTCCCTGGCAGGGAAATCAATATCAAGCAGGATTTGTAAAGGAAGCTGAGCAAACTCCTCTGTGGGTCATTAACTCCAAGGCACAAAGGCAGTGAATGTGCATTAAATGTGCATGAATTTGTTTTCACTGCACACGAGCGTTTCTAATGGGGGCCTGCTCCAAGCACTGCCAGCAATCAGCAGGGCTGGAGGCACATTTCACAGTGATCAGAGGCACAGATAAGACAGCAATTAATTTCTTGATTCCACACAGTAAAACAAAGTGCCAGACAGGGTGCACAGGAACTGAGAGCTCCAGGTTTCCTGTGCAGAGGCAGTGTGTGCCAGCTCTGTGCCCTGCAGCCAGGATGCCCACAACACCATCCTGCACTCTGTGTGCTGTGCAAGTGCTGGCAAGGGGAGCCAGCAGCCAAAATGAAAACCCAGCAACTTAAGGATTCCTCAGCTACACTCAGAGCTGGCTCACAGCAGAGCTGGCATGTGACAAGTGGCTGCTCCAGGCCTTTCTTCGTGCTGTGCACTTGGCACTGGCACAAGTCTGCAGTGAAGGGATCCAAATGTCTCACAGAAGGGCTGATTTTCACATGGTAAAGTGTTTATCTCACAGCAGCCCAGCCCAATGCTTCTTCAGTGACACCCAGCAGCCAGAGGAGGCCAGTACTGCTCCAAGCCCTGTATAAAATACCACCTAACACCTATAAAATATTCCCTGCTCCCCCAGCTTTCCAGTGGGTATCCATCATTTCCCATTACAAATTCAGGTTGGATCACCACCCCATCCCCCAAGCAGTGAGCCAAATCTGGCCTGGGCTCAAGGCTCCCATGGCATTTTGAGGAGGAAGCAGGGCTTTCTCTGTAATGCTTTTCCTGTAGGGAAAAGCTGCTGCAAGCGACCTTGTGTGCCCAAAGGAGAAGGCTGGAAACTCCCAGGAGAGACAAACACCGTGTCTGCCTTTGCAGGGGGAAGGCAGAACAAGGCAGGCATCTGGGATGGGGCTCTCCTGCCTGTCAGAACCCAGGACATCCCTCTGGCTGCCCTGGAGGACTCGAGACCCTGCCAGGGGCTCAGAGACCTTGGTACGGAGTCAAAACCACCTGTGCCTTTGATTTTAGCCCATGGAAAAAGTTACCAACTTTGTGTGAGGATTTACAAACCACAAGGGTTTGAGCAGAATGATAGTTAATTTGTCACAGGGTGAAAAAGTAGAATTTTGGGAATTTAGAATGGGCATTCAAGAAGCAAGATGGAAGAATCTGGGGGTGGAGGGGGATAGAATATAAGCAAATAAAGATAGTGTAGAAAACAATCTTACCCCTAAGGAGTTGCAGCTGGGACAATTATCAAAGATCAGGAACAGGCCTGACTTTAACAGGCCACAGCTGTGACCAATGAGAAGAAGAGAGCTATAAAAGAGTGGGGTGGCTGGGTGAGAAGGGAACTGGAGTCAGTGGCTGCTTTGTGAAGGAGAAAGAGTCAGTGCTCTGAGGAGCTGCCCACAAGAAACACCAGGAAGGTTTGGAACTTTTGTGATAAGGAGACAACAGTGTGGAACCCCTGCCATAAGATGACAAAACAGGTGTGTCCTGTCCTTCTTCTTGTCCTCCATCTTCTGCTGTGATGGTAACACTTTTGGATTGGTTTAGAATAGAGACAGACTGTCTAACATAGGTAATAGGTATTGGAAAATTATTGTAAATAGAGTACATGTAGTTCTTAGTATAAAAAGCTAACACCACCCCAAGGGTGGTCGGTGTGCCACAAACCAACCTGCCAGACAGATCTCAGCAGGTCAGAGAAAGAATATTAGAGATAAGAGAAAATAAACAACCTTGAAAAGCAGAACTAAGGAATCTTGACTTCTTCTTCAGTTCAGGGCTAAGAAAAAAGAGACTTTCTAATATCTCAAGAGATATTTCAACCACAAAAAACCCAAGACCTGCCCTCACCTGGCACAGTGGGTCACCCAGCATGGTGGGTTTCCCCACACATTGCCCCACTTGAGGGAGGTGATGTCTGATATTGCAGTCCCTGCTGTCAGAGGAACTGGAGCACAGTTACAGGCGCTGCTCTCTCAGGCTGTGACCTAAACCTGGAGGGAGCCATGCCCAGCATCCTGGGCCTCACAGCTGTGCTTCCTCCACAGCATTTTGCAAGTGAATAGAGATGCAATGGAGGTAGAGTCCAGCACCTACACTGACTTCATCTCCTGCGACCGGGCTGGCCGGAGGAACGCTGTCCATGACATCGAGAGAGAGGCCACCACCATCAGCATGCGCCAGCTGAGCCAGGACATGGGGGAGCTGGCTGTGCAGGGAGCAGGTGAGCTCACACACACACACAAACACACACCTGGGGGCCCAGCAGGGCAGCTGAGCACATGCACACATACCTGGGGGCCCAGCAGGGCAGCTGAGCACATGCACACACACACACACCTGGGGGCCCAGCAGGGCAGCTGAGCACATGCACATACACACACCTGGGGGCCCAGCAGGGCAGCTGAGCACATGCACACACACCTGGGGGCCCAGCAGGGCAGCTGAGCACATGCACACACACACACACACCTGGGGGCCCAGCAGGGCAGCTGAGCACATGCACACACACACACACCTGGGGGCCCAGCAGGGCAGCTGAGCACACGCACACACACACACCTGGGGGCCCAGCAGGGCAGCTGAGCACACACACACCTGGGGGCCCAGCAGGGCAGCTGAGCACATGCACACACACACACACACACACCTGGGGGCCCAGCAGGGCAGCTGAGCACATGCACACACACACACACACCTGGGGGCCCAGCAGGGCAGCTGAGCACATGCACACACACACACCTGGGGGCCCAGCAGGGCAGCTGAGCACATGCACACACACACACCTGGGAGCCCAGCAGGGCAGCTGAGCACACACACACACACCTGGGGGCCCAGCAGGGCAGCTGAGCACATGCACACACACACCTGGGGGCCCAGCAGCTCCTGGCACAGGCTGGGAGGGCAGGCGTGAAATGGCAGCGCAAATGAGCAGTGCTGTCTCCAGGAGCATCGCACTGATGCTCAAAATGAGCATCTCATTCCTCACTGCCTCAGTCAGTGCCTTCATACTCAGGTGGTGGGAGACTCTTCAGTGAACAGATTGGTCCCTGGTTCCTGGCACTGCATGCTCCAGCCCAGGCCCTTTGCTCACTGGTGCTTAAACAAAGCATTCACTGGCCAAGACCCTTGCCACCGCAAGTTACACATCAGTTACACCTTAGGCTTTATAAAAATAACATATGGGCAAGTTGTGGTTCTATTTTGGTTGGTTGTAAAAAAAAAATCAACCTTTAAATAGTTCTGGGATGGGGATTTCCTGCCTGTCAGAACCCAGGACATTATATATATATATATAATTAATATAATATATATATGTATAATAGAAATGTATATAATAGATGTACAATAGAAATATATATAATATCTATTATATCTAATATATATATGATATAAATAATAACAGAAATTACTTTCACACCAACAGTCATGTCCAAATCCCCCCCCTTCAGCCCAAATGTGGCAGAGGCATCACCCTGCTCAGCGTCTGCTGGCCAGCAGGCTGTGAGGAGCTTCAATCCTCTGTCCAAAGCTGCCACTCTCATTTCACTAATAAGCAACACAACACAGACTATCATTACAGGAGGGAAACTCAGTTTTCCCCCTTACTTGCTTAATTCTCTAGCCTATAAAAACACTTTAAATACATTAATTACCCCACTGTACTTCTTTCAGCATGACCATACCAGCATGTGTCCATCCACCCATCCATAGTAAGCACAAATTGGAGCTGCTTTACCAGAGCAGCTCAGGGTCTGCCAGGCTGTCAGGACAGTTTTGGAGCACTTGAAATTTGGGTGAGTGCGCATCCCTACCTTGAGGCTCCCTCTCAGCATTGCCAGGCGTGTTGAGAAGTGTTTGTACTCCAGGAATGTGGAGGGAGAGCCCAAATCTCTTAATCATAGAATCATAGAAAATGGTTTGGTTTGGAAGGGACCATGGGCAGGGACACCTTCCACTAGACCTCCCAGTCCAATCCAGCTTGGCCTTGAACACTCTCATGGATGGGTCAAGTATCTGGTCACAGGAGGGGAGTGATAGATCTTGAGGTAAAAATCTTTTGTCTCTCAGGATGAAATCAGCTACAGCAATCACTGATGGCTTCAAGTGTCTTCAGCAGGGTGTAACTGTGCTTTCTTCCCACTCCTCCCTTCTGCAGAAAGCCGAAGAGATGCCAGTTCTTCTGACAACGACCCTGGAGCAAGACCAAAGGGGCAGGAAAGCAGCCCCTCCCCATGAGAGCAAAAAGGGTGTGGGATGGGCAGGAGGAGGGCCTTGCTGTGAACATTAAACAAGGATTTGTTGAATCTGTGGACAAAAGCCAACCTGGAACAGCAAGTTGTCTGTCAAATGTCTCTGCTGGAACCGTGCTTGTGTAGAGAGACACAAGACACCTGCAAGGACTGGCACCTCCAAAAGACTTCTGCCCCCATCCCAAGTGGTTTAGAGCAACACTGCCATGGTTGTAGTGGTATGAGCCATTCTCAAGATGCCTTAGCTGTAATTTTCTCTTAGGGGAAAAACAGTTTCAGTAATAATAGACACACCAGATTTTCCTGTCCAAGGTACCTTCCTCCTTTGCAGATTTAGACTATTATTTATTCTGTTTCCATAGGTTAGAAATTTAGATTATTGGTTTTCCTAAGCCTCACCCTCATCTTCATCTTAGACCTGGCCTCTGGATTGTCCACATGGCCCCTCATCAGGCTGGGCAGTGGGGAAAGGACCCAGCCTGTCCTGCTGCCCTCATGTCAACACCACTCACATGTGCTGCTGCTGCTTAGCATCAGGAAAGGACCAAAGCACAGCTCTGTGGGGATCAGCCCCACCTGGAGACCCAGCAGCACCAGCCACAGGCATCTTTTTCTTCAGGTTTGAACACTTCAAGATTATTAAGGGGCGGGGAGAAACATTTTGCTGGTTTGACTGTTGAAATTCAGGCTTAACTTTGCAAGCTGATAGCTGAGATGATCTCTGGTAGGATCTCACACCCTTCTGTCTTTAAGGAGACATGTTTTGTGTTAAAGATGGTTTGATAAAACTACATAAGCTGTTGGAATAAATGACACAGCCTTCAAGCACTGAAGGTGTTTTTTTCTGCCTGGATGTTTCTTCTTCGTTTTTCCTTCAGCTGTGAGGTGGTTTCATAGGGAGACACAGAGCTGTGCAAGAAGAATCCCATGGATTTGGGTCTGTGAAACCCCAGGGGTTTGCAACACACAGATTATAAAAGTCTGCCCCCATTTTCCCAGTTTGACTGCCCAGGAAGCAGCAGGATTGGTGCCAGGGGGAAGAGGTGTTTCCCTCTGCAGCACAGAACTACAGGAGCATTGCTGGTGTTTCACTGATCCCAGTGGAGCAGCCTGGGACTGGCCACCAGCACAGGGACAGGGCACAGCTGACCTGGGAAACTCCACTGGTGACAAATCATCTCCCTGCCAGCCTGCAGAAGGACTGAGTATTACGAGTCTGAGATTTATCAGCCTAAACAAGGCCATAAATCAGCAGAGAAGTGGCTGCCAGGCAGAGGGAGAATTGTCTGTGAGAAGTGATGGCCATGGGGGGAGCCCAGAGGGCCCCACAGCTCCAGCCCCCACAGGAAATGAGGATTTGGCAGCCAGGCAGGGGCCCTGGCTGCTGCTTTGGCAAAGGGCTCCTGGGCTGGCTGGGTGTCACTGCAGAGCCAGGGATGGTGGCCAAGAGCTGCTCCCACTTCCCCTGCCCAGGGGCAAACCAGCAGGGAGCTCCTGGCCCTGCTGCTTTAAGCCCCATTTCCAGCTCTCCTTACCACAGAACAGCAATTTTGGCTCATGCTGACACACACACAGAGCTGCAAGGCAGTGCAGAAGGACTGAGCACCACCCAGACCTCCAACAGTCAAATGTGGGCTAATCTTAGCTCTCCCTGGTCAGAAAATATCTGTTTCAGAATTATATTTAGGCAGAGGAGTAGGGAGCTGTTGGCCAGCTTCTCTCAGGGGCTGGGTGAGAGGCATCAGGTTCCCCCTGCAAGTGACAGCCAGCTCAGCCACTGTCACTGCCTGTGCTGGAACACCAAGGGCACTGCCTTAATCCAGCCACATCCTCATCTGCAAAGCTGCTGAGCACAGGGATGCTCCCAGCCCTTCTTTCCAGCTGAACACAGAGCTGTCAAAGCACTAAATAACCCAAAAACCTTGGGGCAAGCACTCCCCTGCCCATGCTGATGGTGAAGCCCAGCAGTCCAGACTGCCCCTCTTTGGCTCTGAGCATCAACCAACTGTGCAAAACCCAGGAAAAAAAAGTGTCCACTTTTGATAAACACCTGGAAAGTGAGATGTGATGGCATTGCTGCTCCAGCAGTGGTGCACAGCCCTTGTGTTACTGAAGGGAAAAGGACAGGGAGGCTGGAACAGCCTGGAGCCACAAATCCAACTGGGATGCTTGGCAAGGGAGAGGCTTCCCTCTGGCTTCCCTGCCAGCCTGGCAGCAGGCAAGGTACCAAAGCCCCCATCACACCTATCAGTCAACCCCCAGCAGGGATTGGACACCACAGGCCACAGCTCCTAAGAGTCACCCTTGAACAGAAAGGTACAAGGATTTCTCTTTTAATATAAATTTGTTATTTTATTAAACAGGATTAACAATCAACTGTCCAGAATCCAAGCAAGCAACTCTTCTTCAGAAACAATTGTTGGAAAAAATGACCCAAAACCAGTTTCTTACCACAATCATGTCCTTAAAATTATACTTTATCTTTTGCATTATAAAAGTAAGAAAATCACTCTCTCATCTTCATTTATCTAGCTATGTGCATATATATGCACCACGTACTTCAGAGATGAGTATTTTACTCTGAAGGCCAGTGTGGAAGCCCAGAAAGAATGGAAATACTCCCAGCACACCACCAGTGCTGGCAGGGACTGGGCCAGTCCATGGTCTGTCCGTGGCAATGGTGACCATGGCCCCTTTTCAAAGGCAACTTTTTGGTACAGTATCTTTGGAGTGAGCATCTTGGCAGAGCCCTGGGATGCTAAAGCACACCACACACTCAGGTAAGAAAACAATGGTCTCTTCTCTGGATGCACAGCTCTATTGCTTATTGAGTAAAAACACTCTAATGCCATAAAATCACTAAGGAAATTTTGGTGAGTTTCTCTGTATAAATTCTACACCAAACTGAAGATCTGACTTCTAGCCAGTGTCATAATTGAGTGAGAGAAGCAATCACATGGGACCTGAGTCAATGTGTGACATTGGGTCCAGGTTAATTTACTTATTCAGCCTTAAGAGTGCCTAATGATTGAGTCAAATCAGAAAGAGGGCAGAATTGTTAAACCAGGCAATCAATCACGTTTTTTCCAAGTCCTAAACAAAGGTAAGAGGAAGATCAAACTGCAGTTCACAGGAGTTCTCCAGGATTAAAAAAGTGGGGAAAATCCCAGAAGGCAGATTATGGCCTGAAGTGGTAAAATTATGTTCCAACTTCCTCTGCATGTGCAAGCATGGTCATGGCCAGCTGTGGGCACAGCTGGGGCCTGAGCCCAAGGTGTGCACTTCTGCAGCAGTGACAGTGGCAGGCCTGATACATGGGAGTTCCTCTGCAAGAAAGGATGCCAAAAAAATTGTATTTTGTTTGAAATGCCCTTCGCACCTGTGCTCGGGCAGGGGCAGCAGCTTGCAGCTTGTTCTTGTTCCAGTCTTGTTAGTATAAGACTAACCCTGGGTAAATATAGCTGTGACCACCCACAGGGACAAGAATAAAGCCTCTGTGTCTGAAAGGGCTGCCAGCACTAGCACACCTCTGCCCTGGAAAGGTGAATTAACCCAGGCCACAGCAGAGCTGAAAGTGGATATTTCAGCACTGAGGCAAGGGCCAGGCAGGTCAGTGGGACAGGACAGGTAAAACAGGGAAAGAGGAGGTGGGGGGACAAACCCATAAGGGAGGTTGTTCTGTTTGCATTTGCAGCACAGAAAGCCCAGCAGATGGAGAAGGGAGTCAGGCCAGCAGGCAGACCCAGTCTGCTTGCACAGCAGCAGGACAGGAAGCTGGAGATCCATTAGGAGAGACACTGGGGGCTACAGGTAGGTGTGTGTGATAGTCTGATTCTGATGAGCACTGTGAGGGTCAGCACAGGGCTGCCAGGAACAGGGGCTGGCTCTGGGCACCCCCTGCCAGTGCTCCACTGGCACAGAGGAGAGCCAGGCTCTTGTGAAGAGGGGCTCCCTCCAGGCTGGCTCCCAGGGACAGGTCAGGATGCATTGGGGACCATCCCATAGGCTTCATGCAGCTTGTTGAGCAGCTCCTGCTTTTCCTTCTCGGGTAAGAAGCTGGACTGGGCTGCATTGATGTTCTGAGGAGGCAGAGGAGGAACACAGGGACATTAGGACACATCAGACATGAACACACAGCTGTGCACATCCCAGCACCTGGCTCTGAGCAGCAACAGGCGAGGGGGAGTGTAAAGTTTCCACTCTCAGATTCATTTCCATGGCCTTATTTTATGCCAACTGCTCTGGCCCATCACTAGCAACAGTCCCAGGAGAAATGAGACCAGCACAAAGCAAAGGTCTTTAAATACTCAGGAATTTTTGGGATATGTACTTTGAGCCTGGCGCTACTTTCCTGCTTACAAGGCCAGAGCAGAATTTTCTGCTTTCCATTAAAAACTCTTCAGCTTATAAAGAAAAGCCAGCAGGTTATTCTGGGCTGCACTGAGACACCAGCAGAGCACCCAGCCAACTTACAACTCTCTTGAACTCCTCTTCAGTGAATCCCATGTGTTCCTTCACAATGCCATAGTCCTTGTCAATGGTGGAGTTGAAGATGAGGGGGTCATCTGTGTTTAGAGAATAGTTGGCACCATCCTTCTTAAACCTGCAAGGAAATCAGCTTGAACTGGTGGGCAGAGCACTGGCTGTGATACTGTGAAGTTCTCAGGGTGAAATGCAGCAATACCAAAGACTTTGGGACTGCTGGAGAAAAGCACAAGGCTCAGCTTGTCCCCTCATGGCTCTGCACTGACCTGCCAGGAGTGGCTGGGCTGTAGCTTCTCATGCCCCATAGCTCAGAGCAGGGCAGGAGGGACAGGGCAGCCTCCCCAAGGGACCCCCACACCCCTCCAGCTGCACCAGGCTCTCCTGTGCCAAGGTACACGGATATGCCACATTGTCCTACATAATTAGGACATTGTGCCTTGGCTTTGTAAAGCAATAAAACAGCTGTAATCAACCCAAGTCCTGGTTATTTGAGATTTCACATAATTGAGAAGTCTTACTGTATTACAGGGTGTTTGGTGAAGTCCGGAGAACATGCTCCAGTGAGATAACTGGACCAAGGGCAGACCTGTTTGGGGGAGTTGAGCAGGAAAACCAGAATCAACCACATGGATCTGAACCCCAGCTGTGGACACAGATAGCTCAGCACACTGGTAAAACCAGATTAGAGCTCTGTTCACAGCTGCCCCTCAGCACTACTCTGACAGACCCTTGTGTGTCCCAGGATAGGGATGCAAGGAGCCCACAGGACAGTGACAGGGGCTGTGGGATCTTCCCCATGGCCAGTCAGTCACCAGCCCTGTGCCAATCACAGCTACAAAACCACCTGCATGAAGTACATATTCCCTCTATTAGTGGATATCTCCATTCTGGGGGAAAAGCAAAAGAAATCCTTACATGCACTGTAACTCCCAGGCATTCCTACCCTCTAAGCAGACTTGCTCTGTTACAGCAGCCTGATTTGTGTATAAATCAGTGAATAAGCCCTCCAGAATTTATCCATGGCCACACAAGGATCCATTCTCCCTGCCACATCCCTCCCACAAGCTGCTGTGCACACCAGTGCTCCCAGCAAACACACAGGTTTGTCCCCAACATTTTTCCTGTGGAGCTTTGGGCATAAACACAACATCACTGTACACATGGTCAGCACCTGGGTGTCAAGTCCTGTCCCTGGCTGTAGCACAGCCTGAGTGAAGGCTTGTTTTCCACTCAGCACCACCCTGGCTGTCACAGCCCCATGGCACATCCTTACCTCAAAATGCATATTTTTTTTCAGCAGCTGCTTGTAGAGCTCAGGGTCCTCCACGACGTGGTATCCATGGCCAACACGCTCGGCCTTCAGGACATAAACTGCCTAGAGAGCACAGGAAAAGCACTCAGAGCCTCAGGCACAGCTCAGCCCTGCCTGCCCAGAGCCCCCACCCCACTGCAGGTACTGCCACGACCCCAAGCTGGCCCCTGGCACGTCCCTTTCCAGCCCTAAGATCTGCGCCCATGTCCCCAGGGCTCACTCTGCTATGGATTTGGGGAGGACTTGGATGCCTCTGTGCCCTGGGCAGGGCATATCAGAGCCTGTCCCTCTGTGCCCTGGGCAGGGCACATCACAGCCTGTCCCTCTGTGCCCTGAGGCAGGAGCTCCTCGTACCTCCTCGACCATGGCAGCCGGGCCGGCCTCCCCAGCATGGACGGTGCGATGGATCCCACTCCTCTCAGCTTCCTGCAAAACAGGGCAGAACATCCTCCTGTGCCATCACCTGCAGCAAGGACAGCCAGCTCTGGGGCTGGCACTGCTCTCACAGCAAGGCTCCTGTGCCAAGAGCCCACAGATCACGAGCCTTGCACTCCAAGGGCTGCAAGAGCTCGGTAATGTCACATACAGAGACACTTAAAAATCCTGGTTATCTTCCACTGGAGCCCAGCCAGGCTCTTCACGGGCTTTTAACCCTGCCTGAGTTCACCACTGCCTCCTCTCCAGACAGCAGCAAGCTCTGAGCTCCCCTTCCTCCACCCTCTTGCCCTTCTGCATGAAACTTGCAGCAGTTCCATGCTATGGAACTTCTGCATTTTTGGCTAGCTGCAGCCACGTGTGAGGGTGTAGAAGCAACCCAGGGCAGAGATGAAGAAATGCTGTGACACTGTGAGGGGCCGGGGGTGGAGCCCAGCCCTAGGGACCCTGTGAGCGCAGCTTTGGGTGCAGCTCCATGATCACCCTGAAGATTTCTTTGCCAGGGGGTCACAGGCCACCTGGGCTTTGGGAAGCCATGGAGCCTGGAGGGAAGCCTGGCTCCTGCTCTGCTGGAGAAGGGCCACCCAGCTGGCAGCAGCAGACAGGCTGCAAGCCCCATCTTGCAGCAGATGTTGTGCACAGACATTCCTTCAGGGCTTTGCACTCAGGAGTGTTTTTCAGTGTTTTTACTTAATACAGATGGGAGGGGGGTTGCTTCAGCATCTCAGAGCCTGAGCGAGCCCCTGGCACAGAGACAAGATGCATCCTTTAGACAGAGGAGGCTGGACCTGGTACTGCTGGCCCACCAGGGCAGGATGAGGCTGCCTTCCCATCAGTTAATGAAGCCCTGTTCCCTTGTCATTGTCTATAATAACCCTGTTCACTCAGCACAGCAGGCCAGCCCTGTATCAGCTCCCACTGACGGGGTGAAGACCCCAAGGAAGCCCCAAGTCCTTTCAGACCTGAGCACTGCTTGCAAACCACCACCCTTTCTGTCACTGATGGTGCACAACCTCCTCCCCACTGACGGTGGGGACTGACAGCCCCAAATTCCACCAGCAAAGAGCAGAGAGGCTTTTCCTTCCCTCGGAGCCACCGCAAAGGCTGAGGTTTGGGGAGAGCCTGGGATCAGGCTCCTGAAGCCATTCCAGTGTTTGCATTTGAGATGATCAGATAAAAGCCCTACAAATGTGTGGTTTCTGCTCTGCTCCTCAGTGATTTCTGCCAGACTGGAAAGGCCAGTCCCTTCCACCCTTGGCTGTGGTTTCACCAAGCCCCAGGAGCCAACAGCAGGGGAGTGGGGGTTGACTTGGGCTCCATGTACCTCATGTCACACTCACAGCATGCCAAGCCCCAGCTCTAAGACCATGCTTTAGCAATGATGCCTGCCATTAATCACTTAGGAAATATAAACAAATGCTTTTTTCTATTTAACTGAATGTTTTTAATAGCTGCAACTAATTTTTAAGCTGTCCCAGCTGTTTGCAGTTTGAAAAGCATCCCTTCACACACATCCCCTCAATATATATTCTTCTTGTAATTTCTTTTTAAAAACTTATTCCACAAACCTCATAAGCCTTCTTATGCTCAGAATAATCCTCCACCTTCAGGGTCTCATCTCCAGCCAGGTCAACAGCCACCACAGATTCATTCTGATACTTCTTGCAGAGCTCCACCACCTCTGGGGACCAGCCTGGGAGAGGCAGCACCAGCATTCAGGAGGAAGCATTCATAAGGGTCACACCTTCAGCATTTTTCTAAACAAATCCTGGTCCTATAACTAGAAGGCTAGAGCTATTTTCTTTAGTCTTTCCCAAAATTTGATGCTCAAAAAGAAAGCTAGCAAATTCCTAGAAAGGTCTGTCATCTCTGTGATCTTCAGGAATATAAAAGCTGTCAACTGATCAGTCTGTTGTCAGTGAAAGGGAAATTAAATGCATTCACCAGCTATAAAACTGTTCCAATCATGTTTTTCTGCTCACTTCAAGCAGGGGAAAAAATTAATTAAAAATCTTCCAAGCAGCAGTGACTGCTGCAGTAGCTCGAGGTAAGATGAACTGCACTGCCAGGGACTGTAACGTGATGGGCTGGAGAAATCCCTCAACTCCTGAGCTATCATCCCTTCCCTGGCTGGGCAAGGTAAGGGTAAGGCAGGATCTGCCCCACCAGATGAGCTGTGCCAGGGAGGAGATTGGGCTGGGAGGGGTCTCTGGGGGGCCCTGTGCTGAAGGCTGTTGTAGGGCATCCTTGACTCTCCCAAGGATTCTGCTCCCGATAGGAAGGAGCTGAAGTTTTATCTATTTGCCAGCAGGGAAAAAGAGACTAACAAGTGGCCAACAACTGCTTGAGAGCTCTCTGTGATCAGGATAGATAACCTCTGAGAGAGAAACTGCATCTACCAGCTCACATAGCACTTAACCCTAGCAGAAAGGCCAAGAAACAGAGATAAACAGTTGTGTTAATAATTAACAGGCACCTGCTGTGTACAGAAAATCCCCAAATCATTTGAACACACCAGGATGATGTGTGCAACTTCATCATCTATTTTTTTCCACCATTTTCCAACTTGCTGGGTTAGAGACATTATTTTATTAACAAGTTTAATATGAGTCAGTTCTGGCAGGTATCTCTGCCTTTCTCTCAACAGTTCATTAATTACAGGGTGGCTTCTCACTGTGCAGCACATCCTGAATGCACTGCTAAAGACTTTTTATCAAGCACATCATGGCTCTGGGTATCAGCTGGGACACAGGTATGAGAATGTCACCTCTGCTGGTTGCAGCAGCAATCCCTCCTGCAGGGCAGTGCAGGCTGCACACAACCTTGGGTGCTCCTGCCACCTCCTGCCTTTACCACTTGTGCACTGGCAGGGACTGTAACTGCAGATCACCGTGCCAGTGCCTGACAGCTCTCCAGTTTCTACAAAGAAAAACATTTTTTTTCCCCCCTACAAACCAGAAATATAAGGATCAAGTCTTCAAAGTACTGTTTGGTGTTGACTGTGCAAGCAAGAAAAAAAAAAAAAAAAAAAAAAGAAAACCCCACTTTCAAATCTACCAAGGTTCTACCAGCTTCCAAGAATATAATTTATGACATTTCTAGACACAAATTAATCATGTACTCACTAGGAAAAATCTTTCCACCATCTACCCTACTAAGCCCACATAAAACTGGTGTGAGATATGAAGATACTCAGAATAAAACCTGCACATAAAATAGCTGCTGTCACACAGGCTCTCTCTGGCTGCATCCTTCCCTAGAGGAAGATGCTTGTGAAACTCAGCAGCCCATTGAAATGCTGGTAATTGGGTTTTCTTACTATTCTGGGTCACAGCACCTATTACCAAAGTAAGTTTTTGTCAGAGCTGCTAATTTTATAAAAAACATTTTATATATGTGCCTTAAGTATATCTGACTTGTGTTTTCAGCTTTAGCCAGCAGAGACTGGCTGCTGCCAGTGGATTCTCTGGCTGCCCCATGACCCAGGCTAAGGAAGGAGCATCCTGCTGTAGGACCATGAGCAGGGAATGTGAGATGTGATGCCTGCTCCTCCTCCCATGACCATTTGCTCTCAGACCTCCAGCCACTCATGGCAGATGCAAGTGCTCACTGTGCCAATGGCTTTTACTGGCCCAAGGTGAGCTCTGGCCTTTGGGCAGGGAGCAGAGAGCACAGCTCCCCCAGGAGAGCACAGAAATGCCCCTTTTGTCCCTCTAGCAAGGTACAACCAGTTCAGATACTGGTTGTACCCAGAGACCCCCACTCCTGCATCCAGCAGAGCTTTGCCCTACAGTGAAAGGAACAGAGACCCCCAGAGACCCCCAGCACTGTCTGGTGCTGCACCAGCCCCACAGACTGGGGCTGTCCCCATGTCCTGCAGGGTCCCAGCCCCAGGGACATCCCCCCCAACCCCTCAGGGAAGGGAGCAGAGCAGCAGGGCAGCTGCAATACATTACTTGGCATATGGCGCATGCAGCATAGAATAGACCTGGCTTTGATGTGGAAATCCCTCTCTCCATCCTTCAGTCCCTGATTTACGAGCTGAACCACTTCATCTGGAGTGAGGTCACCCCTGCAGGGAAGAAAAGCCATCAGCAAGAGGCCAGACACTTGCCAGGGAGGCAGGCAGGTCCAGCCCAGCAGCCCCTCATGAGCACAGGCTGCCCCAGGTTCCACTTGCCCAGTGAGACCACCCAGAGCCCTTTTACACCCCTGCCACAGCCACATTCACCTGGTACAGGTGTAACTCCTGTACCACTGCAGCAGGCACAGATGACACTAAGATGTAGAAAAGCCTTAGGGAACTGACTGCCCATCCTGCCTGAGCAGAGGAATCCCCTCTTTGCCAGAGCATCTCATTGGGGCACACAATTCTCTGCAAGCCCAGGGCTCTGCACCCACCACAGCACACTCTGGAGGGGCCTCAGAGCCCAGCACTGATTTAATGAGAGGCACATATCACACAGGGGATGACATGAAAGGAAGGGATCAGAGCAGCAGCCCCCTCCAACACCAACCACCACCTCTGCCAGCTCAAACACCCATTCTGTGGTCAGGCTGTCCATATGGGGACATTCCTTTCCCTCTCACTGGGAAGGGCTTCAGCCAGATGGTTGAGCACAGAACTCAGTGCCCAGAGCAAGGGACATTAAAACACTGCAGCACACAGAGGTGTTTAAGGTGAAAAACCCCATTGGTGGGAGACAGAGGTGGAAGCATGCTGGCTCTCACTGCATGGGAGGAGGAAGGAGGTTTGTTACAGCAGCCTTTGAAGGCACAGTGGCTGGCTGGCATGGGGATGCCTTCTCCATGCCCACCCAGCCACCCAGCAGCTCCCAGCACAGCAAGATCACTCACTCAGCTTGTCCCCAGGGGATGGGAACCACACCAGAGTTGGCCAGGAGGTGAGGGCTGTACCGGACCTCCACGTAGGCGACTCCTTCCTTGGCTTTTGTCTCCACAAACTCGTAGGCAATTCTCCTCACTGCCTCACGGTCACCCCTGCAGGGATGGCAGTGGCACTGTCACCCTCAGGGCCCATAGGGGACCTCCGAGGCTGATCCTGCCAAGGGTGAGGGGGAAAAAGCAAAAAGCAGGGTACTTACGCAATGGCAGGCATGTAGTAATTAAATTTCTCTAGAAACTGGGGGAGTGTCAGTGGTGTGTCATAGCTGACATACTTCAGGAGCTCCTCAACAGTGTTCCCAGGGAGGGGGATGCCTCTTTTCCTGGAAATAAAGTCACATGTTACTGACAGGGAAGGTTATCACATTTTTAATCAGCCTGTTTTATACACCAAGTGTATCCAAAGCTGGCAGCATCAACCATCATTTCCTCACAGGAAAGATACAGCACACCCTGTCCTTCCAAAAGCTCCTCACGGATGGAGCCCTGAACCTCAGCAGAGAGGAAGGCAATCCAAAACACAGGCAGAACACAAACAAACCCAAATACAAGCCCAGGCTGACCCGGCAGGAACACAGCCAGGGCACATTTTAAGCTTAAGAAGGAGTTCATCTAAAGGGGCTCTGGATTATTTCTTGGCACCTCACAGACCTAGCAGCAGAATTTCCAAAATTCTTCAGAAGAGTTAATTTCCACTTATGCAGGCTCAAAGGATTAAGAAATCAAGGAGATGCTCCAGGGCCTGGGATCACACAGGCAGAAGTGTTGTGGCTCATGGGTTTAGTGCCTGAGAGCTGCTTTCTGAGCCCAGCATCCTGGTGGCATCTCCTGTGACAGGAACAGCTCCCACACAGGAACAAAGGGCAACAACTGCTCTCACTGCAGGGACACACATGCTGATGCCCACATAAATGCCTCCAAGAGGGAAGAGCCATCTTTCCCAGGAGCAGCTGGAATTCTGAGTGGGTGAAGGTGTTCCTGGTGTGGGGACAGCTGAGATCCAGGGGGCTGCCAGCCAAGGGTGCTGCAGCTCTCTGGGCAACCTTTGCCATCCCCCGCCCTCTGGTACCCTGCACAAGCCAAAACAAATTTGGAATAATAACCAGACATTTGTTTTTAATCCTCTTTCCTGCCACAATGAATTACAGCTGATTGATGGAAGAACTCTGCTAATAGAGACAAAACACCAGAGCCAGCTGTAGTGCTGCCCTGCCAGCAGCCATCCCAATGAGCCATGCAGGGACACAGTCCAAAGGACCCTGCTCCTGGCCTTGGTAAACATTGCTCCTTCCCCACTCAGCCAGCAAGGAGAGCAGCCCCATGCTCAGCCCTCACATGCAATCTGCACAGATTAAGTTGCTGGCACTCAGCAAGGAACACTCACTGCTGCCAAGGCATCGGTTTTCCCCCCTGCCTTGCCCTTTCCATGGCACTGACACCTCAGTCTCTGCTCCAGGAACTGACCTGCACCTTCCTCCACCTGCCACAGCAAAGTTTCCTAAAGCAAAGCCACGTCCCTGACCTGCTCCATGTGCTTGCTGAGGCAGGGCCTTCCTGCAGGCATCAGTGACAGTGCTTTGGGATGATCCACACTGGAACCATGCCTCTGGATGCCAAGATCTGGTGCATCATGCCAGTGTGGCTTTTGGGGCTGCTGCTGCCCCATCCAACCCTCCTTGCAGGTGGGATTCTTCTCGCAGCAAAGTGGCCAGAGGGGAACATGTTTGTCCTCACTGCCACCTCGGTGTCCTGCCCAGAGCTCCCTCCAGCCATGGGCAGCACCATGCACACCATCCCATCACAGAAAGGGCACCTCTCCTGGGGACACCCAGTCCCCACGAGGGGTCTGCCACACCTCTGAGCCCTTTGGCTGAGCAGGAATGATGCAAAGACTGACCCAGAGCTGACAGAATTGGAGACAAGGTTTCTAAAAACAGCTGAGTTCAGCAATGCACTGCCCACGGGGGCCTGTGCATCCCAGCAGCTTGGGGTTCTGTCTACATGGTCAAACACCACCTAGCAAAATTATTTCCAGCTCTTTACTTTTAAAAATAGGCCACAAGCAGCATTCTGTGCCCAGGGTGAAGTTATTAAGGCAGTCAGTCCCCTACAGCCCTCTGCACTGTCCCAGTGGTTTGTGTGTGAGTGCAGGTTTTAGAGCCCATGAATAGCACAGCCTTGCTCCACTCAAGGGCTGGCAGCTCAGGGGGGTGCCAGGGCTGTTTAAAAATAAGAGGGAACTCAGCAGATGCTCAGGCAATGAAGGTTTCTGCCCTAAGAAAGGATCCTGGCACAGGATCCCCAGACAGCCAGTGCCTCCTGGGTTTCAGGGCTCCTACAACTCTCCTAGGGGACTACACTGGCATTTTCTGTTTGCAGGCAGAGGGACCCAGCAGAGCCCCAGGGAGTCAGCACCAGCTCTTCTGTTCACTTGGAGCTGTATTCCAGCCCTGCAGCCCACCAGCAGGAACCCTGAGTTCACCATGCCAGCATCCAGCAGGAAAATGGGATGGACAGCCCTGACCCACTCTCCTTTCTCTGACTACACAGCAAAAAGTATGGCCAGGCCCTGCAGAAAAAGCTACTCCAGAAAGAATATTTCTCCCCAGGACTGCACTGCCTTGGAATCTGCCGGGCTCACAGGATGCTAGAACCCCTCCCCATCCTCCTCCCCAAAATACCAGAACTGACTGCCTCCCCAAAATACCAGAGCTGTGCCTAAGAGCCATTTACTGAAATCCTTACCCTTGCCACCTTCTTGGTCTGAGGGTATCAGTGACAGCTGGAAGAAATCTTGTTTGTTTTGCTTACAAATGCGGAGCCAGGCCCTGGCACAGGTTAATCATTCACCCCGTGCTTCCCACACAATCCCCACTGAAGGAAGATGCACGTGGGCTCTGTCACAGCCTCTCTCTGAGCCACTGCCAGGTGCTTCCCTGGGCCAGCCCCACACCAGGGAGACTCCTTGCCTGCTGACACCAGGCAGACAGCCTGGGATTCAAATGCACATGGCAGCAAGACAGGCAAGGCACCCAAGCTGGCTTGTCCTCCCAAACCATGTAGCAGCAGCACCACCACCAAGACAAGACTCCCAGCCTGCTGCCATTCCACTTGGTTTTGTGATGAGGAATGTGGAAAAAGAAATGAGAATACAGCTGTGTCCTGGATACACTTCAAAGGCAGGCAGCTCTTTAGGAGACATCTTCTGGACTTTTCTCATGGTGGCTCCTCTGAGCTTGCCCAGCTCCCAAACCCACCTCAGTCACATTCCTGCTACCTGGGAAGCCCCCCCTGTCTTTTGGGGTGTGCTCAGTGTCCTCACACTGTGCAGCCAGGTCTGGGCAGAGACAGAACCAGCACCAGCCAGGTTTGCTGCCTGCAGGAGCTCCTGTGTCACAGATCTGGAGAAGCAGAAGGGAAGATGCCTTTGCACTGCAGCTCCCTGAGCTTACTTCCCCCCACAACTCACTTGCCAAAGTACAAGATGGTCTCTGGTCTGATGGCTCCATCCAGGTGGACGTGAAGCTCTACCTGCAATGAGAGAAATGGGTCAGGCACTCTTGAGCTGCAACAATAATTCAGAGAGAAGTAACTGGTGCTGACATGGGTATAAATGTAGCCAATACAGGGACAAAGTCATGACACATAGACGTTTTTTAAATATAATCATTATGAAGTTTATTTTTCAATATCTATGTATTGTCTAAGTATTTTGCTGCAGCTCACACGTTTAATGAAACTTTAGAAATTTATCCTGTTTCCAGTAATTTTGAGGGACTGCCCTATCCTTACTTAGAGTTCAGGAGGAGTGAAAAAAGCAAACTCCAGACACCTTGACTTTCCATCTCACTTCCTCCTTGAAATCACAGGAAACCAAACCCTAATTAATTTGCTAAGAGTCATTACATGAAAACTTTGACTTCACTTCCAAGAATCAGCTCCTGCTGGGTTGTTAGTTACATGGTATTATCAGGGCTTACAGGCTCTCTAATCCTACACAAGGGGTCAGTCCCATGGCACAAAGGTGCTGTAAAATAATAATAATAACAACAAAAACAACAACAATAATAATAATAACAAGAAAAAGAAGTTGCCCCATAGAGCTAACAAGCTTTCAAAATAAAACACTTAAATTTTTACCCATTAAAAATAGGACAGTAACTCAAGTCTTTTCACTCTGAAGCCCTATTTCCCCATTATTGCTGAAACATTGAATTTTGGAGAAAGAGAGCCAGAAAAGCAAAAGCAAGCTTTTTCCATTAGCCAGCTGGGGCTTTCGGAGGAACATGACAAATGTGATTTGGAAGTCGAACTGGGAAGGAAAATATTAGCTGTAAAATGTTTCAGCTAGATATCCATCTTTCCAGAACTGTTTTCTTTTAGGTAACAGAATAGCCTACAAAATACACATTAGATTTTACTGTATTTTTAAATGAAACTGTAGATTAGAAACTTAATACACAAGGTTCTTTTAAGTTATAACATCATGGACATTTAGTTATAACATCTATGCATTTTCCTGCATAGATGATAGCTGCGGGGTGCCAAGGGTAAGAAAGGAGTAGGATTCAGAAGAGGACTGGATATTTGCATGGATAACTAAACTACCCAGGGTTACTAATTAAAACAACCTCTCTGGCATCAGGGTATACAATAACTATAACTACCAGGAGCTGGGAGATAACTGAGCAAGCAGTGCCTGCAAGTGCCCAAGAGCAGGCGAGGTGAGCTCGTGGCCCAGGGCTGGCAGTGCCCATCTCTGGGGCGTGCACTGATGCCCAGGAGCTCACTCCATGCCCACACACACCCTGCACACCTGCCCTGCAGGCAGAGCACCTGCCTCACTGCCAGGGAGAGCACCTGCCTCACCAGCCACTCCTGCTGCAAAAGGCAGGGCAGGGACAGTGCTGGGGCTCAGGCCATCTCCCATGATGGCCACCAAGCTGCCTCTGAAACACTGGTGGGATGCAAAATGCAGGTGGGGCAGGCTGAGGATGGATCAAGCTGCTGGTGGCAATCAGCTGGTCATGGATACACCCACAGCCACTGCTGACAGCAGATTGTAAAAACACGTGCCTGCCACTGCTCCTACCCTTAAGATACCATCTCAATCTACAGAGAGGAAGATTTATGAAGGGCAAAAACTGATCTTTCCCCTCTCCTTGAGTTATGCAATCCTGCTTATGAGGACTAAATGTCCTGCAAAGCAGCAAATAAAATAACAGGATACAAACATGGTCTGCATTGCCAGATGTAGATGCCTGGCATGTTTTCCACTCTTGAGCTCCAGTTCTTATTTCAAAACCATGCAAGATCCACTCCTTGAGATATTCAACAGACCTCATGTCTTTCTGATGGAGTTACAGGCTTGAAATTTGCTCACATTGGGTTTAAAAACAAAGCAACCTGAACCTGTTGAGTCTTCTCCCTCAAACACTTTTCAAGTGTTTCCTGCAAGAACATCCCAACATGACATTTCCATCAGTGAGAAAGCAGATTCCACGGCATCCTTCACCTTCATCTAAGTCACCTCCTCCTGCCTCTTCTGCAGGCAAGATGCTTGTAAAGCAGCAAGTGCCTCTCCAATACCAGCAACAGGCTCTTTGTCCCCTGCCAGCCTTTTTTTTGGGTCTGTGTCCTAAGAAACCCTTGTTCAATGCTGTTTAACCCAAAAAGTTTTGGCTTTCCTCCAGACCAGTGCTTGAGAGCAGAGTTTGAACTATTCTATGCTGTTTAGATGGCCAAAGGACATCCAAGACAAGATGGAAGTGTGCCTACAGGCCTCCAGATAAGGATGCAATCAGCAGAGGCACAGCCCAGCAGCTCATCTGCCCTGGGCACCTTGCTCACAAACCCTGAGGGTTTGCAGGTCCGTGGGAGGCTGCTCACTGCAGATTACATTTCAGCTCTCTTCCTGCCGTGTTTGTTTCGGGTAAACAAAGCACAAGTCTTTTCCACATACAAATGGGTGACATGACCTTGCCTTAAGCCAAGGAAAGTACCCAGATAAGGATGAAAGAGTTTTCTTTGAACTGTGACTCCAGGGGACAGCAGAAATTAGGTGAATGCAGGAGCCCAGTGCTCCTTCCAGAGCTCTCTGCTCCTCAGAACACAGCTCCATGGGCATGTGCTCTCTCACCCCAAACCTTCTGATTTATTTGTAGAGAAAGCACGAGCACACACACGATATTGGGATCTCAACACCTGGTGAAGGATCTGAACAGCACCACAGGCTGCACCAGCACTGGACAGGATCAGTCCCAGGACCACTGATCATAGAATCACAGAAAGGTTTGGGTTGGAAAGGAACTTAAAGGTCATTTAGCCCCAGCCCCCCCTTACTGTGGGCAGGGATGCCACCCACCAGACCAGACTGACCACTTCCTTCTGACAGCCCAGCTGGATGTGGGAGCACCTGCTCTGATGGAGAACAAGAGAGCAGCAGAACTCTCCAGTGCTTTCCCGAGGAAGGAGCTCTGTTCTTCTCCCAGGTACAGGGGGGACCCTCAGGACCAGCTCTGTGCAGGAACCCTTCAGTCCCTCCTGCACCTCCCCTGACCTCCCAGCAGCACATCAAAAACCCAGAGTGTAATGCAATAAAGATTTAAGTTTGGACTTGTTGGAAGCCAGAGGGATGGGTTCAAAGAACGTTCAAAAGGCTGTAAATTGTGTGTTCCTCAGCACAGACAGTCCCCAGCAAGGCCATCAGAGCAAACCCAGCCATTTCCACTTCTATGCAAAAAAAAAAGTTTTAGCTCAACCATGGCACATGACTCATTAGTGCAGATATCAGCAAGTTGGTTTGGATTTTCAAAAAGGAGAAGTTTTAAGGGCTCTGGCTTGACTTCTCTGAAAATATTGTAATGTTTTCTTTGAGATGAAATAAGCTTCAAAAATAAATTCAAACACAAAATGAAGGTACTCAAACAAGTATGTTCCATTCCAAGATCAAGTCTGATTATTTTCATTTTAGTGAAATTAAGGGGAAAAAGTTAACCAAACATTCAAAGAATTTTCATCCACAGCCGACCCAACACAATTTCTCTATTATGGTTTGATCAGTGGACCATGGCAGAGCAGTTACCTGCTCAGCTTGCCCATTATATGGCATAAAAAAGCCATTCAAGCTAAGGCACTTGAAGGATTTTCTGTATTAGGGGGTTGTTAGGGTCTTTTTAAAAATATATACAATGACCAAAGTCAGTCCTCTCCTTTTATTGTGAGGTTTCCAGCAGACGTTAACAGATAATCAGGCAGCTGATAAAGTTGCATCATTTTAAAACCCTTAACAGTGACTTTGCCCAGGATTATTTATCAGCCTCTTGAAAGATGATGACTTAGTCTCATTCTATTAACCTCAATGGCTGAAAACTAGGCTAATTACAGCTGTAATTTGTCAATTGTTTGATAAGCATGGCAAATCACTGGAAAAAAAAAACAATTAACCATGTTCCCCTAAGTCTGGTTTTAAGGAAATGTGCTGTTAGGAAAAAAGAGTTCCTCATCCTAAGTTCATCTCAAACTCTCATTTAGAAGCAAGAGGTGAGAGTGGCTCAAGAGAGTTGTGAAGTGGAAGTAGCACAGCATTATCCTCAAACCTGAGGACACCACAAATGCACCTGTCACCTGCTGCAAGGGGTGAGCCTTTAAAAGAGGAACATGGGAGACTACAAGCCCCACAGAGCTCCACTGCAGGAAATATCTGTGTTTTCTATGCATCTGGACAATGATTCATGGGTTTGGTGGCTGAGGAAGAGGAGGATGCTTCTGTGCTGAGCAGCCTGGCACCAACTACATCACTGACCTCAGTGTGAGACTCCTGGTGACATTAATAGGTGATGGTGGTTGTGTGTCATCACAGGTGATGATGTGCCATGTGCCCACCAACCCACCACAGAGCTCACACCCACCCCTGGCTGGAGCACAGCACCCTTCAGAGCAGTGAACAGAGTCCTGGCACTTTGTGTGGCACCAAGACAAACTCCTACTGCCACCTGGATCTGGGAAGGTTATCTGAGAGCATCCCTGTACCACACTGTAAAAGAATTGAGCACACAAGGTAGCACTGTGTAAGGCATGGCTCAGGGCAGAGCTCAGGGCAGTCTCAGCAGCACCAGGCTCTGACCATGCCAAGTTGGGGGCCAGGATGGGCACTAGAGGTGGACAAGCCAAATCCAACATCATTCTCCACACACCATCGTGCTCCTGCAGTCCCCTGATGGGCAGGGGGAGTCTGCAGGGCTACAGGGCAGGACATCCACTCAAACCCCCTGGGTACAGCCAGCACAGGCTCTTTGGTACCACCCAGGCTGGGCCAGCAGCCACTCCTCTGACACACACGGTGTGCCTCACAGAAGAGCTCCCCCATGTCACCTGATGATTATTTTATAAATGAGCTACACCAGTCCCTGAAGAGGTGGGTTTGACCCCAGAAACCCCTGTTCACATCCTGCAGGAGAAGACAGCCACATGTCCTGAAGCCCTCAAGCAGGGGCTGGCCTACAGGAAGAGGGCAGAGAGCAAGGACACGGTCTCTGCTCTGGCTGTGGGACAGAAAGGGTGATGGTTGACATCAAAGGAACATCAAACTTCTCTGTTCTTTTATGGCCTGAGATAAGCAGGGTTCAAAGTTGTCCTGCCACAGCTCCCTGTTCATCACTGCAGTCACTGGGAGTCAGCGAGTTTCTGAAAAACAGAGGCAGCCCCAACCCCACATTCAGCTGGGGCAGAAGCTGCTCCAGTTGCCAGAAACATCTCTAAAACACAAAACTGATCATTCCCAATGGCAGAGGATCCAGAGGAATGAATAGGGCTCAATAACTGACTTCAGGCCCATTTTTTCCCCCCAAGCCTGACTTAGCAGGTTCACAGGACTGAAAGGGACTGCCTGAGTCAGGAAAACCAATCCCATAATTACCCAATTAACCAATCCCCAATAGCCAGACAACAGAAGCCTGATCTTAGCAGTCAAACCCTGCAGTTTTCCCTAGGTCTTTCTCTTTGGTATCCCAGTCTCCCATTCACTGGGAAAGTGGAAGCACAAATGAAAGAAGAACTTAAGTTGCTTCTCTCGACCAAAAGTTTAAAATCACCAGGGTGAATCAACAGCCTTTTTTCTTAGTGGAGCTGATGAAGCACCACCATCTCCCAAAACAGAAGTGCACTTAAAAAGGCTTTAACCATTAGCAGCTGCCAATGCTCCCTGGATTTTGGTATCAAGGTTTGCCTGCTATTGCATGGATCAGCCTCCTAGAAAGGGAACCATAGTGATGGAATGAAACATGAATCAGACCTGTGCACACTGCTCTTTCCAAGTATGTGAAACTTTCCTGGTGCAAACTCAGCTGAGAGTGAGTGGGAGAGGATGCAAACAGCAGCAAAGCCCCCCAATCCTTTTGTGGTTTTGGATACAGTCTTCTTCTCTGGAAAAGCCACAAGCAGTTGCCACCACTCACATTCTCCCAGAGCAGCACCACAACTCCCACATCACTTTTCTTGGTCTCCTCTGCCTTGACTCCTACTTTCCCACAAGAGCCCAACCTGGCACATCCTGTACAGCATCTTACCCAGACCACAGCATGATAGCTGAGCCATTCTGCAGCACAGGCAGTGTTCTTCCATCAGATACAGGACTATTGCTAACCACAGCTGTTTCATCTTCTTCCTCCTCTAGTCCTCTAGGTTACAGTCTGGATAATAAAAACATTACCATATGATCCTACTAGAGATGTAGTATACAGGGCATGGAGACAGTGAAAGACTGGTGCCTGCTGTCAGAGAGTGCTCCAAAGTGGTGTCATGGGTATCTGAGGAACAACTGAACTAAACGTGTAAGAAAAAGAAAACAGAAAACCAAACAACGAAACCGCGAAAAAAAAAAAAAAGTGCACCCAAATCAACAAAACAAAAGACACAAGAGAAAACATCTGTTTTAGCAGACTACGATAGTGGTTGGGACGCAGGGCCCCTCAGAGCCTCCCCTTCCCCAGCCAGGCCACCTGTGCATCCCCAGCCCGGCGGAGCTGCGTTCCCGGCCGGGCGCTGGGATGCGCCTGACCCGCATCGCCCCGGCGGCGGGATGAGCGGGACACCGGGCCGGGCCGTGCCCGTTCCTGCGGGGAGCACCGGGCCGGGCCAGCGCAGCGGGCTGGCACCGCGGGGTGACAGCGGGGGCACCGAGCGCTGTCCCGGAGCACGTCCCCAGCGAGGGCTCGGCCGTGCCGCAGCTCCGGCCGGGACAGCCCCGGGCTGCGGAGAGCAGGAGCGGCCGCCCGGCTCCGGGGCACGGCCAGAGCGCGGCACCTCCGCACCGGGAACGGCACCTCCGAACCGGGAACCTCAGCCCCGGACACAGCATTTCAGCCCCGAGCACGGCACCTCCGAACCGGGCACGGCACCACCGGGCACGGCACCTCCGGACCGGGCACCGCACCTCCGAACCGGGCACGGCACCTCCGAACCGGGCACGGCACCTCCGAACCGGGCACGGCACCCCCAGGCACGGCACCCCCGGACCGGGCACGGCACCTCCGAACCGGGCACGGTACCCCTGGGAACACCTCAGCCCCCAGCACGGCTCCTCAGCCCCGAGCACGGCACCTCAGACACGGGCACGGCACCTCCGCACCGCCGCTCCCGTTCGCAGCACCTCGGTGCCGGTTTTGCACGCCCCGTTCCCGGCCCTGCGCCTCCGGCAGCGCCGCCAGCCCACCTTGGGTCCCCCGAAGATTCTCCGTGCCCGCTCCATGCTGCCGCTGCCGCTGTCGCCGCCGTTGCCGCCGCTCTGCCGCCGCCGCTCCGCGCCCGCCCCGCTGGCCCAGCCCCGCCGCCCCGCCCCGGCCCGCCCCGCGCACGCCGGGCCCGGGGCCGGCACACGGCGACAGAGCGCTGGGGCTGAGGGGACACGCTGGGTGCATCCCCCTCCTGCCCCCTGCCCTGGCAGGAACGCCTGCCGCTATTCCAGGCTGCTCCGAGTCCCGTCCAGCCCGGCTTGGACACTGCCGGGGCAGGCACAGCTTCCCTGGGCAAGCTGTGCCACCCTCACCGTTCTCACAGGGAGGAATTTCTCCCTCACATTTAATCTAAACCCACCCTTCCTGCAATCCCACTTTGGTTTCCTTCAGGAGCTGACGGCCCGTGTGGACCTGCTGCTCCAATGATAACACTGGCAGAAAATGGAACTGAAAAAAAATGATTGCTCGGCCTGAAGAACAGGAAAGCAATCTCCAGCTTTGATTTCAGTCTTAAGCCAATTCAATAATGTTTGTTTTAACCTTTCCTGCTCTCAAACCCGCTGCTTAGTGACTCACTTTATTTTGGTCCACCACATCTACTTGCAGCTCCGGCAAACTCACACTTGGCTTTCCATTTCTTATTTTCAGTGGCCTGGCCATGTTTTATGCTGCTCCTCTGCCTCCGGCTTTCCTGTCCTGTGGGTGATGCACATGGCAGCCCACATCTTTGGAGACAGTGAGGCAGAAAGCCACAGAATCACAGAATGGTTGGGAACTGCGGAGATCATTTAGTCCAGCCCCCCTGCTAATACAGTTCCACCTAGAGTAGGTTGCACAGGGCTGTGTCCAGGTTGTTTTTGAGTATCTCCAGAAATGGAGACTTTCAGAGTAGCTCTGCCTGCTCCTCTCTGCATGGATTCTCTGATTCTGGGGACAGCAGAGTTTCAGTCACTCCAGACCTAGCGTCCCATCTAGCCAAAGGCAAATTTGCCAAATGGAACCTTCCCTAGACTGAGCCTTGGGGAACACCCTGAGGCCCATGTGCAGCCCTGGGTGAGATGAGATCTAAGATTCCCAGGAGGCACCGAGCAGGTGGCTGGTATTTCCAAAATCACTGCAGAGACAAGCACCACAGTTCAGTTCTTCATGACAGGAGTTCACCTGCCCAGGTGAGGCCATCCCCAGACCACAGGCCGGGTCTGCAGGGAGCCTTGCAGACAAAAATCACTATATCAATGAAAAATATTATTGTTATTTGCTCTGGTGCGTAAGCAGAGAAAGCACTTGGGGCCGTGGTTGCGAACACTACCACAAATGGTTGCAAAATAAAGTTTCCTCATCTCCCTCCCCAGCTGTTTTTCCTCCAGATGGACACTGTTTGTGGAAGCTGGCAGCAGGGGATTAGCTGCACAGAGCTCTGCTTGTGGGGATGGGCAAGGCTGGGTGCTCCTCCAGCCCTGGGCTGTCACAGGGGGCTGCAGGCTGCTGCTGGCACTGCTCAGGGAGTGCAGGACATGCCACAAGCTCACTGCTCCACAGGGAAATGTCACCAGCCTCCCTTGTCACTCCTCCCCAGCTTTGCCATGAGAGCAGTGATGGAATTTCTGCCCCAAAGCCAAGTAGGCATTGAGAAAACAGTGGTTTTTCAGCTCAAACCCCAAGGTTATTTGAGTATGTGCACCGCAGTGGAGCCTGTGGGAATAGCCCAGGGCTTGGCTGATGTGGAAGGTTCATCACCATGTTCTCTTTTATTAAATACAACCTTTCAGGAATGCCCTGACTGCATCCATGCTGCACAGACAAAGCACATTAGTCACAGCTAACAGGCAAAAATATTCTTTACAAAATAGTGACTGGCAGGGGAAAGTAATCATTGGCTGCTGCCAAGTGTGGGGCCAGCAGCACTCAGGCTTCCAGGAGGCTGTGGGATGGAGCAGCACTGACCAGGCTTATGGAAAATGAGCAGGAATAAACAGCATATATATATTAAATGTTTTAAATATTAATCTATTTAATAATATACATTAAATATATATAATAAATATATAAAATAGATATACTAAATATTTTAAATATTTTATTAATATTCATTAAATATTTTTAAATCATTTCAAGTTCCCAAAGCTTTTAAAGTGCTGAATTTGGAAAACACACCCCTCCCCTCTCTGGATGTACGGGGCACAAACAAAATGGTCCAGGCAGGGTACAAATCAGCCACTGGGTGTGAAACTGCCTCTAGGCAAGGAGCTCTGGTTCACATGGACCATTTCACCTGCATATCATGAGCTTTTTTTATCAGCCACCTGAAAAACATCTATTTTGCCTAGATGATGACTCACAGCATATTTGACGTCTGACTTCTGGTTCAAAGCAATTACAACAATAAATAAATACAATAAATGGCAATTTATTGTATTTAATGACAACAATAAATAAACAATGTTGGAAATAGACAGTGCTTTACAAGGATCTTTTGTGGGCACAGCCCTGTTCAGTGTGCCCTGTACACTGGGAGGACAGAGGTCAATTAGGGCATTTATTTGAGATTAGAGGAAATTACAAGGTAAAAAAAAATAGCCTGTGGGTAATTTTCTGTGGGGGGGAGAGTTGATAGCAAAGGTCAGAAAGAGGCAAATGGAGATGAACTGACCCCATGGACTGGGAATGGTGCAGTAAGGGGTTTTTGATGGGTTTTTTTCCTGCTTAGCAAATACACGTGTGCTGCAGACTCAGCTCTTTGCAGGAGTGTCAGCACAGTGCATTCATTGGACACAAGTGTGCTGCAGAGCCTTAGAAACACGGCTTGGGCTGATTTTAATTGACCTGACCCTGATCCACTTTATCCATCTTTACCTCTGGCTTAATCAGGTGGCTGCAATAGCTGCTGGGCTGTTGGCATTAAATCTGTGTTTCTCTAGGAGAGCACCACATCTCTCTGCAGCCAGAAGGCTCAAATCTGTCTTTTAAGGGTGAATTCCCACTTTGAAAACCAGAGAGGCACAAGGTTTGTCTGGACAAGCACAAGGATGCTCTGGGGCCATCCTGGAGAAAAGCAACTGCTCCTCTGCGTATGTGTCTGGTCCCTGAGGTTAGCTGTTTATCTTTTGTATTTTTAGGGAAAATTCCAGGCAGCAAAGTAGGGGTAAAACTGATCTTGGAAGTTATTCCAATGCTTATTTCCCAGGAGCTATATTTAAACCTGTTCCCTTTCTCTTGCCCCCAGAAGTTAATACCAGCTGTGTGTCAGGGCTGCTGACACCTGCAAACAGCTTTCCAAAAATAATAAGAAGTATGTTTATGCTGGGCTTAGATCTTAAAAAAGGCACTTTTCTATTTTGGTTTGGGGATTTTTGTTGGTTTGTTGGGTTGTTTTTTGTTTTAGCTTTGTTTTCTTTTTCTTTTTTTTTACCAGATAACAGTATCTCACTACAGCCTATTCTAAGGGGCTAATGGAAGAAAATGTGGTTAGATTCTTTAATTCTATCAGTGTAAATGCCACTGTCATGTATAAATATGACATAATGCTGTATTAGTCAACTTTGCCAGATAAGACATTCTCAGCCCAAACATCCATGGCTTCTGCAAAAGTTTTGTTTTTGAAACAAAGCCTTAACTTATCTCAGCAATTCCCATTTCATTTCTGCAGCTTCCTTGCAGGGCAGGGAGAAGCTCTGCCCCAGGGTGAGCCATCACTGGGGTCACTGGTGGGAACTCAGCTGTGTCCCATTTGGCTCCTGCTGGGGATCATGGGCTCTGCTCAATGGGAAGGGCACAAACCCCGCTGGGGACCCACCCTGCTCCCCAAAGGGACTTCATTTCCCCTCTGCTCTCAAAGGAGCTGGAAGCAGACACAGCACTGGCCTCCAAAAGCAGAAGCAGATCCTGAACTACCCCCTGGTTTCAAGCAGATTTTCTCCCATCAGCAGTGAGTGGGTGCTGGGCTTTTCCTAAGGGAATTGCAACTGCGGGGCCAAGAGTGTCAGAGAAAACAGAGAGGGCCACCAAGCAGCTCCTCAGAGGGCTGATGACTCCTCAGAGGCACCACTGGGCAGACCCCTCTGGGGAGCTCCTGTCTGGCACTGCTCACAAGAAAACCACAACCCTCACACCCCTAAAACAACACCAGCCTGGAAACAGAAAGAACTTCCACAGCAGAAACCCCCAAGTCACACCCTAGGGAACAGATGAGGGTTAAACAGGTTGCATTTTCCCATCTTGGGGCATTTTTGAGCAGCACAGAAATTCACAGCCAGCTGATGACATGCCCAGCATGGGCACAGGATGCAGGAACTGGCAGAGCCACGTGGGCTGCTGCAGCCTGCTGCACTGATCCCCTAACCAGATTAGGGCTGTAACACAGAGGGCCAATTTGCACCCAGCATCGTGTGTTCCAACCTATTCTGAGCATCTCCTGGACAATAAGGCTACCTGAAATGAGCTAGGGGGGAGTTGGACTTCTCCACATCCCACTGGACAAGAATGCCCCCCCAGGGCTGGTATATGGCACAGCTTTGAAAGTGAGAAAACAGAGAGAAGGCAGAGAAACACAGTCAGTGCTTTGGGCTGTGGGAAAGAGCAGTGCTCTAAGTCTGGCAAGGTTTCAGTTTTGGAAATGCCTCCAAGGCCCACCCTGGAAGCTGTGGGATGTCTAAGGATAAAGGCAGCCCCGCTCTAACCCAGCAGTTTGGGTCCCAGTGAGAGGAGCACACAGTCCCTGCAGTGCAGAGCAGCCTCCCCTCAGCAGGGGCACCACCCTGCCCTCTGCTCTACCTGCTCTGTCAGCCTTTGTCACTGCTCAAATCCAGTGCTCAACTTCAAGGATAAGGCTGTTATCATCACAAATGGAAGCAGGGTTCACCAGGCCAGATAGCTCAGCTCCTCCTGAGCTCTGGCTGGCCTTGGATTTCTCTTGTGGGTAAAGACAAGGAGCAATCTCAACCCTGTGGGTAAAGACAAGGAGCCAACTCCACCCTGTGGGTAAAGACAAGGAGCCAACTCCACCCTAGGGCAAGATGTGGCCCCGT